CTTGATCTCATTTCTTCTGTTCTTTGTACCCTGAACTTACTTTCTTATTTAAAGATAAATTTGTTTTCTGCTCTTGATTTTTATCTCTGAACTCATTTTCCTTAATTTTGTTGGCTCGCTTTGTTCAGTTTTTCTGAGTTCTCTTGTATTTTGTTGATCTGCCTGAGCTTTCTTCTATCTCTTTGAGTTTCTTTACTTTAGTAGCTCTGAATTTTGTTTTGTCTTTTTGTGTTTGGATTCTGGAGAGTAGTTCTCACTTTGTGATGATGTGTTCTCTTGAGGTATTACCATGTATTATATTTTTGTTGACCCATTTTTCTACTTGAGGACCACCTCTTTATTGTTTAAATAATCTGTAGTAGCAACTTAAGGGGTTAAAATATTTCCTTTGCCACAGGTGGTGCCATTGATTTGATTTTCTTTATTTTGGCTTTTGCTGATTTGTGTATGTGGTGGGATCTGTCTTGTAGTTGCTGAATCAGTAGGGCTTGGAAGGGTCCAGACTTTAGCGTGGATGAGATCGCTCCCTCTGCTGGTGGCTAGACTGCTTTCGCTGGCTGCTGAGAGCAGTCTGGCTCTTGTGCCTGATAGCTGATGAGTCCAAATGGCCAGGTTTTTATGGTGGGCAGCTGATAGCTAGACTCTCACTGCTGGCAACCAGCCTCCCACAGCTGGTAGTTGCAGTCTGGGAGCAGTTGGACTTTGGTAGCAACTGGCGACCACACTGGGCTCCCCTCCAATGGAGATTGCTGTTTCCATTGTATACTGCAGCCCTGTTTTACCTTCAGGAGCTATAGGCTTTGTTTTTCTGCAGTGTACCTGAGAGTAAAAGGGATTGGCAAACAGATTTTAATTCTACAGTCATCTTGCTCTCAATTCCATTCTATACCTTTTGGCTGAATTCAGCCTGTTCACATTTAAGGTGGTTTTAGAGGCATAAGTGCTCATTGCCACTTTATTTTGGCTTGTCTTTATTATATTTTGAGGTCCCCTTTTATGTTTTGTTTAGGTCCCATTTCTGTTGTCATGTGTTTCTTCTGCTTTTCTTTGAGGGTTCTGCTGAGGTTACAATATGATAAATTATTTGTGAGACAAGTTGGATGGTCTGGTCTCTTGACTAGTTTTGTTGGGCCACATTCTTCCCCTTCCTCCTCCATCTTGGGTGATTTAGGTGCCTGTTGCCTAGGTAGTCATTGCTCTGTTGCTTTTAATAACCTCTTTAAAGATGCTCATGTGTGACCTGGTGTCGATAAATTCTTTTAGTTTTTGCTTTTTAGTGAAGTTGGTTACTTTTCCTTCAGTCTTGAATGTTTATCTTGCAGGGTAGTCTTTTTTCCTTTAAATATACTAAATAGGGTGCCTCCCTGGTGGGACAAAGGGTTAAGCCTCAGCACTTTGAAGTAAACTGTAGCCATTGCAGAAGTTTGATCCTCCTACCCCACGCCAGATCTGTTCTTGCTGCTGTTCCTCTTAGCAGTATATTCCAGTAGATCTGCCTCCTGTTACCCCCTCCATCTCTGCCCTACACCCCAACTCTTGTATGCATGAATATTTAAAAAATATTCCAAATATCCTGCCAATTCCTTTGTTTGTAATATCTTGATTTTAAAAGTTTGTTGACAGTCTTGTTATCTTTTTTCTCTTGGTTTTTTCGTATTGTTGATACTTTTGGTTTTCAGAAACTTGAACATGTGTCTGCTTGGAACTCTCCAGGCCTCTTAGATCATTATATCTGGTTTGTTCCCCAGATTGAGATGATTTTCAGCAATAGTTTTTTTAAACAAAATTTCTATAATTTGTTCTCTCCTTCTGGAAGCCTCATGATGCAAATTTTACTTTCTTTTGGTTATCTTATAGAACACTTGTATTACATACATTAAAATTTTTTTCTCTCTGTTCTATTTTTGTACTCTAGCTTTGTGCTTTCTCCTTATTTCACTACATTGCTTGAGTTTGTTGTTGAGACCCTCAATTGTTTAATTCACTTATATAGTATTTAAGCACCATTACTTTTTTAAATATATGTATTTTTACCTTATTCTTTATTATGATGTGCATTTTTTCACCTCTGTTGTAATCCCCATGGGCTTTCCACCACCATTTTATCACCATAGTCAAGTGCACTCTTCATACGCCAGTTCTGATCCCATTCCCCTTTTTACCACCATGTCTCTGGCTTATAATTGTTCATTGTTTTTATTTTTACTCTTACATTTGTTCCTCCACCCTCCATCTTTATGCTCCTGCTGTGAGTGAAACCATCTGGTATTTTTTTTCTTTCTGGTGTATTTCACTGAGCACGATCCCTTCCAGCCCCATCCATGTTGCTGCAAAAGGCATGAGTTTATCTTTTTTTGATTGCTGAGTAATATTCCATATTGTGTATATGTACCACATCTTTTTAATCCAGTCATCTATTTTTGGGCATGTGGGTTGATTCCATGTCTTTCCAAATGTAAATAAAGCAGCAATAAATATGGGGGAAACACTACTAATTGTAGATTGTCATAGTTTCTCGATCTTTGTTGTTTTTATCCTCTGGGTTTTTGATGTCCTTCCCCACCTCCAGTTTCATAAGGTTTATTGTTACTGTTATCTTGAATTCTTCTGTCATATTTTTTAGCTTGACGGGATGAGACTCCTCTTAGAATATTTTTGCTCTAGCACTTAATATGTTCACTTTTAGTTTTCATGGGTTATCATGTAGTCTTTCAAACTGTTGTCTTTACAGCTACTGAAATAACTGGAGAACTGGTACTGCTGAGGGGCAGAAGGGCTCCAAAGGATCACCTCCAGTGAATGTCAGGGGTTCAATGTTCCTAATTTGCTGTGGGCACCAGAGTTGTATAATGAGGGTCCACAATGATCCTTCTTCTAGACCAACTCCTTAAGTGTTTCTTCTTGTCAGCTTTCACATCTAGATTATTTTTGAGCACAAGGCAAAGACTGTAGTTGACATGGGGTCACAGGCCAAGGGGGCATTAGGATACTTGCTTTTGTTATTGATAGATATGTATTCTGGTTAATGCAAATGGTCATTTGTTTTGGTTTTAGCCCTGAGATTGGGGTGGAGGTTGGGCTTATTTGAGTAGCTATGAGAAGATATAGGTGATAATCGACCTTTCTGTCTCTGCTGATTTGGGCTTTTAACTCTTTTATAGGGAGAGTCTTACTCGGTCAGTAATCTTTACTTTGTAACCTTGCCCCTGTGCTCCCTGTCCTGAGTGCCAGTTCTGCATGTCCCCTTATCCAGTACAATACTGAGTTTCAAGATTTCCCTATGTTGCTATGTGCCCGAGTCAGCAACTGTTGGATGTCAAAGCAAGTTCTACTTTGCAATTATAGTCATCTGGAAGAGAAGAATACGTAGATTTGTGACAAACACCATACATATGAAATTCCATTTTGAACTGGAAATAAAAATTTTCAAGATAGTTCTGTTGGATGTTGCCCACTTTACTGCTGTTAATGCCATGGTGAATCTACCTATTTTCAACGCTTGATAGCTGGTCACTGTGAGGCTGCCATCTTGCCTTTTACACTTTTTAAAAATTTATTTATTTGTGCATACAGAACTGGGGTACAGGCCAGAGGCTCAGGGGTGGCGAGAGGCTTCACCAGAGACAGAGTGGGGAGCAGAACAGGCAGATCGAGGAAGTACACTGCTGAGGGGAGCAGTGGGCAGGTCAGGAGAGGTCTGCCATGTCATGTGGTCACCTCTGGGGCAGGTGGGAATCGAACTCATGCGGAAAGTGGCTTTACCTTCTCAGTGCTGTGCTTTAACCCACTGAGCCATTTAAAAGTGATGGTTTATTCATACTTCATTACTAACCCTGTTTGAAATTACTTTGTAAATTTCTAATTTGTGACTTACACTCATCCAACCAACATAAGAAAATAAATTACTGGATGTATACTTGCTCAGTCTTTGCTTCATCCTCTAGTAGTCATAGGTTGGAACGTGCATTACTGCCTTTTTTTTTTATTAAAGATTTATTTATTCATACAGAACTGGGGTACAGGCCAGAGATGCGGAGGGTGAGAGGACTCACCAGGGACAAAGTGGGGTGCAGAACAGGCAGATCGAAGAAGTACACTGCTGAGGGGAGCAGCGGCAATTCAGGAGAGGTCTGCTGTGCCTTGTGGATCTCCTCGGGGCAGGCGGGATCAGATTCCTGCAGAAGTGACTTAAGCTTCTTAGTGCTGTGCTTTAACCTGCTGTGCCACCAGGGAGGGCCCATTTCTGCTCTTTAGTTGGTCAATTTCTCATTTGAGAATAAATTAGTTGACAAGAAGAAAACATTATACTTTTTGATGAAGCTACTGCTAAAGTGTATTAATTCTAGGAATCTCTGAACCCAGTGTCTTGCATTCAGTATATATTGAGTACCTACTATGTGTCAGGGTGATTTAGATCTTTGATTTACTTTAATGGATAAAATTAATATAAGTGTATGGGGATTATATTCTAGCAGAGGTAGGCAGAAAATAATACATAATATACAAGTAAACCTAAAGTATATCTGAAAGTTAAACATTCTGTATAGGAACAGCAGAGTTGAAATGTATTGGGGGAATATGAGGAGATTGGTGATTTTACATAGGAATCTGGTTAGACCTCATTAAGATGGTAACATGTAAGCAGAACTTGAAGATGAAAGAATCACTTGGATACAGGGGTAAGAGCATTCTGAGAAAGAGGAGACTGTATAGTGAGGAAAGGACACAGGTACACTGGAGTGAAGCTAATCAAGGGATGAGAAATGATTGTCAAGGGCATCACGATGATGACTTAGGTTTGTACTGTAAGGTTACAGGACAGGAATTTAAACAGGATTTTATCTCAAACTTTATCTCGAAATAATTGTCTTTCTCTGAAAATTGTCCTTACCATTTTAAATGTATATGACACAGGCTTCTAGGCCAGTTGGCTCTGCATAAGTTTGTAGGTAATATTATTCCTAGGGTAGTAAACTATGTGCTTTACTTTATTGGTGTAGGGTCCTTCTCCCACTCCTGAGGATATCTCCATGAAGGAAGAGAACCTCTGTCAAGCTTTCAGTGATGCCTTGCTCTGCAAGATTGAGGATATTGATAACGAAGACTGGGAGAACCCTCAGCTCTGCAGTGACTATGTTAAGGATATCTACCAGTATCTAAGGCAGCTTGAGGTAAGTGGACCTTTGTGTGTGTTAAAGGTTTATTTATTTATTTTTACAGAACTAGGATACAGGCGAGAGGTGTGGAGGGTGAGAGGATTCACCAGAGACAGAGTGGGGAGCAGAACAGGCAGATCTACTGAAATACTCTGCTGAGGGGGAACAGTGGGTAGGTCAGGAGAGGTTTGCCAAACCATGTGGGTCAGCTCCCGGAGGGGAAGATTGAACTCGTGCTGCAGTGGCTTGGGGGAGCTTCATAACAGTGCTTAATCTCTTGTGCCACCAGGGAGAGCCCCAGGACCTTTGTGTTTTGTTTGAACTAACAGGGAGGAATTTACCGTGCAGCTGCGAAGGAAATGAAAGTCAGCTTTTTAAACTTTTAATTCCACCAACAGGTTCTGCAATCCATACACCCACATTTCTTAGATGGAAGAGATATTAATGGACGTATGCGTGCCATCCTTGTGGACTGGCTGGTACAAGTCCACTCCAAGTTTAGGCTGTTGCAAGAAACATTGTACATGTGTATTGCCATTATGGATCGATTTTTACAGGTAAGTATGACTTTAGAAACTTTGTGCCAGTGGCCCATTGAATACTAAGTTTATGCTTCTTGGATAGAAAAAAGTGTGCTGCTTATGAAGAAAAGACCAAAACCAGTTTGAGAAACCAAGGAGGAGCCTTACAATATTAAAAATGGGAAATAATCCAAGAGTGTCGAACCTTGGTGATGCTGGGCATGCTCAGGGGAAATACTGCTTTGCATGATAGTTCCCAAAGGGACTGTGCCAGCAGCTGGGCTGGTTGAAAGTCAGCATGAAGCCTGTGGTGCCTCCCTGTGCACACAGCTTCCAAAGTCTGGTACTTTCTGGTAATGTTTTCCACTTGAAAAATGAGTTTGACTAGAGAATCTTAAGTTGCCAGCCTGCCATGGCACTGAATCCTGTAGAAAGGGAGGAGGCACACATTTTTAGGAATAAGGGGAAGGCTATGTGCAGCCAGTTTACTAAGTGTGCTGAGAATGTGAGGCATAAGCTAAAGAGGAACGTAAGAAAATAAGCTCAGAGGTCGAAGTGACCATCAAAATACTTATCAGCTGGTAATGCTGAGAGACACTGACCAATTAGAGAAGCCACCAGACATAAACCACTAGTATAATCTAGAAAGTTGCTCTGTAGATAAGGATTTATTTATGTCAATATTTATGATACAGGTTTAGGGCAAGTACAAATTCTGTCCTAGCAATACAGCAATAATAAAGTCCCAGTATTTTTCTTTTTCTAAAAAAGGAAATTAAGGGAAACGTTTTTAAAATTGAGGTAACATTGGTTTACAAACAGTGTGATGTAGATATAGGCTCACAGTGTAAAGTGTGACCCTCCCACACCACACATACAGCCCCGGCACGCACAGTCCTCCACAGTGCCCCTCCCTGCTCTGCGCCCCCTTTCTGGTAGCTTCAGTTCAAGTTAAGATTCCTATTATTTGTTATTGGTTTGGTTTGACTGACCTTTTCTTTCTCTGTCGCTCTCCTTCTGCTTAACATACTCCCATTTGGTCCCATTCATGTTGAGAGTGTTTTTGTTTAATATTCCAATGTGTATCACATTTTCCTAATCTGTCTTTGGCTACTTATGTTATTTTAAAAGAACCATATTCTTCCAACTGAATGAGTAAACTTTTAGTGAGAACTAAGGATATGTTTAAGACATCTCCCTAACCCTTAGGCAGCCATTAAATTTCTGCTTTTTAGCTTGGTCTCAACTTGATTCAGAGCTTGTTGAGTGCCAGGTTGGGGATGTCCCAGGCACTGAAATCAGGGTGAGGGAGGCAGAGCCGTGAGTAGGAGCTCAGTTGTCAAACTTGTTTCTTCCCCACACATCAACTGAGTGATCTTGGGCTGGTGTCTCAATCTCATCCTAGGCCATCTGTTTGTAAAGGGGGATAAGAAAATGTACTTCCTGTGGTTTTCTGTATGTGTGAGGAGGTTATGTGTTAGGAATCTCAGCATACATAGTGAGCACTGCTAACAGCTGCTGGCATCTACTATTAACATTCAGTTCTCTGTCTGCTACTACCCAGGTCTGGGTGGGTTCCCCTTACCTTCTTCCATCCATAGTCCTGGTCCTCTTGTTAGATGTGACTTTTGACACCTTCTTTTAGGTTCAGCCAGTATCTAGAAAGAAGCTTCAACTGGTTGGGATTACGGCTCTGCTCTTGGCTTCCAAATATGAGGAGATGTTTTCTCCTAATATTGAAGACTTTGTTTACATCACAGACAATGCTTATACCAGTTCCCAAATCCGAGAAATGGAAACTCTAATTTTGAAAGAACTGAAATTTGAATTGGGTCGCCCTTTGCCTCTACATTTCTTAAGGCGTGCATCCAAAGCTGGGGAGGTGAGTGCCTTCAGTTCTGTTGGAGGTTATTTTCCTGTTTGAGATCTCATCTCAGAAATAATGATGTAGTTAAAGGACAGCTTTTGAATTTTAGGGAAAATTCTTTTAGATAATCCTAATGCTTATCATTTCTCAAAAGGCCTATCTTGGATTTGTAACATATTGTGGGGCAGTTCTTGGGAAAGATAAGTGATTTAAGAGGTCTTGAGTTCTTTGGTCATTACCAGAATTTTGCAAGAATAACAACAGCTGTGCTGGTTACTGTCCCTTGCTCTCATAGGTTGACATTGAACAGCACACTTTAGCCAAATATTTGATGGAGCTGACTCTCATTGACTACGACATGGTGCATTTCCACCCTTCCAAGGTGGCAGCGGCTGCTTCCTGCCTGTCCCAAAAGGTTCTAGGGCAAGGAAAGTGGGTAAGTCATAGACTTAAGAAGAAATTAATTTGGTTATATTCTAGGCTATCTTGAAAGAGAAGGTCTTAACATTTTCACATTACATATGAATCACTTGTTGAACAATTTAGATGGAAACTAATTTATACCATGTGGCACAAAACTATATAAAGTTGTAAAAATAAGGAAGACTACTTATTAAGATTTCTAGGATTTCTTGTTATCAAGCAAGTTATCAAGTACATTTGGCAAAGCAAGACAAAAACTTGACTGATTTAGCCAGTAAAGATAAAAATGACTGTTTTATTCATTCAAGTAGCCGAAGATACTCTGGGTCCTGTTTCACATACCAAAACAAAAGTTGTCAGATAACCTTTTGTGAACAACTGGAAAATTCTAGGCTGCCACTAAAGAGTTTTGTAATCTATAGCTATACCACAATAGAGCAAATCAAAGCCTCACCAGAACCCAGGAATTGCTAAGAACGGTCTCAAAACAGCCTCTGGGCAGAGAGAGAGCTTAGTGGGAGATAGCTCGCCCACCCAGACAAACCCCTCCTCTTTCAGGGGGCCACTGAGTATTTCCCAAGACATAAGTTGTGGTTCAAGCCTCTGTCTCTGGACACAGGCAGGATGACCAGGACAGACCTGTTCCCCTATACACTGTGTACCGTTGTTAGCTTTTTGTGTATAAAGGAAGGAAAATAAGAGTATGTATGGATTTGCTAATTTAGTCTTTTCTTCCTAACACTAATGTAAATAGATGCCTTTAGTGTTGGGTGTGAAGAGCGGAAGGTTGAGGATATGACTGTAACTTTTTATTAACTAGTCTATAATGTAATTTAAAAAAAATTTTAAATAGAAATGTTTAATGCAAACCTAAATGGAGCAGACAGCAATTTGATATATTGAGGCACTGTAACAGAACCCCCCCAACAAATGAGTTAGACAAAACAGGACAAAAAGATAACATCATTAGGTTTGTTAATAACTTGGTAATAGTAATAGTTTCAGAATACTAGTAGTGTAGATACTGTAGGGTAAGGTAATTAAGTACATTGTTATTTAGGATTAAGTATCATATTAAGAGAAAATTGAAAACAAGGGAGAACCCTTATAATATTCATCTGTTTTGGAAATACCAGTTGAAACAACAGGGCCCAGAAACAATGGTAACTCAGTAGCAGTGAACATCCCTAGTGCCAGATCTTGAATACTAAATGCTATTGGCCATGAGGACTAGGGCTTTTTAGAAAATTGCTGATTTAGGGTCAGGTAGGTGGAAGTGCAAGTTGAGCCTCGAACAAAGCTAAACCAGAGAGCAGGCCAATTCTCAGGAGTGATGGCGTCACATTAAAGAGACATAGGAACTGGCTTGAAAGGGTTCTGACTCAGTAAATCTGACCATTAAAAGGAAGTGACAGTAATAATACTGCTTCAAAAAACCTTGGGTTCATAATAAGGAAGAGAAGACGATTTTTTCTTAAATCAGCTGAATTTCGGCTAGTGAAAGTGGAAAGAATGTTAGGGTTTGAAATTACCATTTTTTAACCCTCACTGTAGTAAAGCAAGGATCAGCATACTTATAGGTAAAATAATTTTTGGGGAACAAAAGCATCTTAATCCACCCCACAGACACTTGGTAATTCTGAAGGGAAACTGTACCTTTGGTAAGGAGAGCAGGTGTTTCTACTTGAACCTGTAGACCAAGCCTGGCATCACCTACCTCCTGGTACAGCAGGAAGCACATACGCCACTGCCTCTATACACATGGGACAGAAGTTGACAGTTAATGTAGCCTTTCAATTTTCCTGTAGACTTGAGTTTAAGTAAGAGAGTATGGTACATGGTCCTTTTTACAGAGGCTCATTTTCACCAGATTCGCGTACGCTTGCACTGCTTCCTTGGGCTCTCAACCTGGTCTCCCTGTTTTAGGGGAACTGACTGCATGATACCATCACAGCTACATTATTTCAGGAGGTACTCATGTTTAGTTTTTTACGATTAGGATTTATTTTCCTAATTAAGACATGCATAGGAAAGGGATGTACTTTAGCTATAGAATTTTATCAAAGAACTGAAATGAAATAAGGTTACATCTTAATATATTCTGAGTTTTATCAATTGTGGTTTTTGCTTGATCTTTCTTTGGGTATAGAAGCTTCTGAGTGTGGTTACCAGTGCTTCACTGCATAAGATCCCCAGGATTGACTCCTGGGCAATCCTCATTCTTCAGGACTGGGTGGTTTGCCTATGGCTCAATTTATTTCTCAATTCTGAACCTCATTCCCTGACTGAAAATACTCTTTGAACTCCATCTCTACTGCTAGAGGGCTGTGTTAGATATGCAAATCAGAGGTCTCTGTCCTTGCTATAAAGGGGTACTTGATTGGGTTTCCCTTTTCCTCCATCCCACTTTTCATCATCTTCAGTATGGTGATAGAGGTAAGTAAAAAGATTTGTAATCCAAAGTACCCCCACTTACCTGTACAATCTTCAAGAAACATGGTACCAGTGACACTTGTTAGCTGAGAGCTGCATGTCATTCCAGTGCTGCTGCAGAAAGCCTGTGCTGATAGTTTTTAAAGTTAGGACTTCAGATTTTTTCCAGAAGGAATAGCCTTTAAAACTTTTACAAAAATTATGTCAGTATGTGTAAGATGTGTTCTTCTAAAGAAGTGGAGTTATTTTCTTGCCCCCTCTCTCTACGCTGTGTTCTAGAACCTGAAGCAGCAGTATTATACTGGATACACAGAAAATGAAGTGTTGGAAGTCATGCAGCACATGGCCAAAAATGTAGTGAAAGTAAATGAAAACCTAACAAAATTCATTGTAAGTATTCTTAAGCTGTGTGCGACATTAGATTATGGTTTTGTGTGTGTTTTCATGGCTATTATTGGCACATGTGAATCTCTGTATTAGAGCAAATAAATTTATCAGGGAACAGAACAGACTGAGACCCTGAAAGCACTTCCTTTCAAGGGAAATTGCTAGGCTATGTCCAGTCCCATGTAGCTGGTCAGGTTTCTGTTCAACATATTTGTCTGCGCACACCCAGTATACAGAGTAGGGCACTGAGCATGGAGGAAGGTGGTTGCTATGTGGTCTGAACAGCCAGGGCCTGCCTCAAAGGGCTGTGTTGGAGTGATTACTACAGGGCGTTGGTCCGGGATCTTGGGGGCAATGACTGAAGTGGACCTGAATAGCGAATGTGGTGAAGGAGGGAGGGGCAAGAAGCCCCTCAGGAAGTGTGCTGGAGGCCTGATTCGTGTGGTGCAGAATATCAGCTCACCAAGGACCTGGTGACAAGGAGCAAGGCATTTGTCCCCACAACCTGACTTGCTTCCCTGTGTGTTGGTTCAGCGTGGTTTACAACCTGTGGGAGTGAGTGGGGTATGCTGGGCACTATTTGCTACTCACTTTCATTGCCAGGCCTGGCAAGGTGATCTTAACGGCACCATGGTATGACGGTCTCGTCTCCACTCCCTCTGGGAGTTTATGAGAAATTTTCTATGACCTGTTGTTACCACCATGGCTCTAACCCAGGACTAGACAATCAGACCCCTTATGACCTTAGAGCATGCTGCTGGCTTTAGTGACTGGGCATTATTATAGCATCTGCTGCTCCTGAGTTGGCCTTTCAATACCTGTAAATTAGATTACAACTGAGGAATAAGAGGGGTCTGTCTATGTGTGGGTTGGAGGTTCTCGCATGTCCTTAATCACAAATGACTTCTGCAGGCCATCAAGAACAAGTATGCAAGCAGCAAACTTCTAAAGATCAGCATTATTCCTCAGCTGAACTCAAAAGCCATCAAAGAACTGGCCTCACCTCTAATGGGACAGTCCTAGAATGCTGTGACCCCTAGACAAGAGTGCATGGTCATGCCGATGGGGAACTCCTAGTGCTGTACATAGTCCTCTGGCCTATTTCATAAAACCTTTTCTCAGCCCTATGTTCTAAATGTCTATTGAGGAAAAATAAAGTTATTGATTTTTCTTAAGGTATTTTGTGTGTTTGTACATTGTGTAAAGCTTGCTTTGTGCTATTGTGAATAGCTTTAGTAAAAACAGTCCTACCATTTTCTCAAATGGAAAAAGAAAACCCAAAATTTGATTTCAGTGAGTGCTAACTCATTCTTGAATATAAAAGGACTAACTCCTTAAAGTAAAATTAAAATATGGATAACGTTAACAGCTTCCTTCTTAAAATATACTCAACCATTCTCTAGTTTCTTCATAGGAACACCTACCTTGTCCCCAGGACAACAACCTCCAGAAGTAAACCTCATGGTGTATGTCTCAAAGGGAAGTTGACATGAAGAACTGTCCCAAAGGGCTGTAGCTGGAAAGAGAAATTGGCCTGTTTTACAAATTCAGGTTGTTACAGTTGACACTTAGAATACATTCTCCTTATCTATCTACATTATGATTTTGGTGTGGGCACTTGATCACATTCAACGTCATTGTCCAAGGGGGGAATGCATTCTCAATCTCCAACCACTAAAACAAAACCCATAAAATTAATCTCTTAATCAACAAGATATAAGTTGTTGCTCTGTGTATTCAACAAGATGCTAATTGGTGTTTTGAAAGAAAGTAGTTAGCCACATGTTGGGAAACACTGTAAATTTATGTAAGATTCATAAAGGTTCTGACAAGCTTTGCAGTCAACTCACTGAACTCAGCATTTTCCCAACCAGAGTGCAACCAAAGCCGCTACCTGCTTCCCTGTGAGCTCTAACTTGTGGGTGCCCGTAATGGCCAGGGAGGAGAAGCAGGCTTCAGCCAGCCTTGCTCCTGACCCCCTTGTCCCTGGGCAGGCCGGGAATGCTTCCACTAGCGTTTAGTTGGCTAATGGACACTGAAAACCAGCCTTCCTGGCTCGAAAATGCAAAGCTATGTCTCATTGACCCCTGAGATTCAGCTTCTCATCAGGAAAGGATGAGTTTGTGTACATATTTTGCTTAGCCCAGTATTAAACACCCAGCTCAGGAAGTTTATACTTCCAGGATATCTTAGGAAAGTATCTTAAAGCTCTTTAACTGCCACAGCACTTGCGGAGGCACCTGGAGCTCCCCCTCTGGCCTCCCTGAGTTGAGCAGGCAGACTCAGTCTGGCCCGACTTCCAGTGCTGCTTTTCCAGGTGATTTCCCCTTCCACAGGCAGAAGATGGGAGTCATTCTGCTACATCACCCCCTTTGCCTTGTTTCCTATCCCTCCCAAGGCTGCCCTGATCTTCTCAGTTCCTCCCAGATTTAGGAATTTCACTTCTACAAGCTTGGTGCCTTTCTCTCCATCTGTGCTGTGCCGTTCCCCCTGGAGCACGGCCCCTTACCATTGAGGCCTAGTTTACAGTCTGTTTGCAGACATGAAGGCTTGCTATAGTTCACTACCTTGCCAAAGGTCACACGGCCCTTGAAGTCACCATTTGAACCCTGATCCAATCCTAAATTCATGCTTTTAATCCTTACCTCCTTCAGTTTGATAGTCAAACTGTCAACCTTTAAACTTCTAACCTCTCTCAAAAATCAACCTAAGAAAAGCAAAATGCAAATACTTAACAGGTTGGAATCTGTAGGCTCCTCTGATGGGTAAAACCTAAAGGTCTTACATAACTTTGCCCACAGTCCATCTTATTTCCAACACCATCAACCTTCTCCTCAAAATAATCAGTTCAGGTTCTTCCTCTGTGCCAGGCTCAGTGACATACTTTCAGTCCAGAACCCTATGAAGGAGGATACTCATGCCAATTTCATAGAAACAAGAACAGGTCGCACAGCTGCTTGTGTTTAAACCTTTTTGGTAGGTGCGTTCTAGGGGCCCTTGCAAGAAGTCCATGATACCGAAACTACTTTCATGACAATACCAGCATGCAACTTGCTTTTACTTTGTTCTTCCTCCAGAGGATGGTGGAATATTCTGCAGGAGGTTAGTGGAATGTGTATTTATTTGGGTCTTAAAATTTTGTTTTAATTTCTAACAGGGTAAGAAATTTAATCGCAATAGTTATAAGCAACAGCAGCAGACCTTTGAGATCCATTATGATAGTGAAGAGTATAAAGTGGTTACAAGGCCAACTTCTGGCTTACTAGTCTGATCACTTTGGGTCCACATTCAAACCACCTGGTTTCCTCGAGCTTTCATTGAAGGGATCTGTCAGATCTGCAGTTCCCATTGCTTCACAGGTGTATATGTATACACAGAAGTATCCCAAACAGAATAGCACCTTCTAGAAAGCAGGTATGGCTTCCTAAGCCTCCTTTGCCTTCTCCTGGGTAAGTGATACCTTTTTTTTTTTTTAAGATTTATTTATTTATTCATATAGAGCTGGGGGGTGCAGGCCAGAGATGCAGAGGGTGAGAGGATTCACCAGAGACAGAGTGGGGAGCAGAAAAGGCAGATCGAAGAAGTACACTGCTGAGGGGAGCAGCGGGCAAGTCAGGAGAGGTCTGCCATGCCATGTGGTCACCTCCGGGGCAGGTGGGGATTGAACTCATGCGGAAGTGGCTTTAGCTTCTCAGTGCTGTGTTTTAACCCGCTGCGCCACCAGGGAGGACCAAGTGATATCTTGTTAAGTGAATCATGAACAAAGCACAGGCCTAAATCTCAAGACAGGAGAACACCCAGGTTTAATGATTTTAAGAGCCCTGGGGGGGGGGAGGGGTGCAAAAAGGGTCATTTTTCTGATGACTTACTAATTTGGAAAGAAATGGGGGATGTTACCTATCTATCCCAGAGTGTTCTACTAGCCTATACTTAAATTTTTTTTAGGCATAAAAATAATGATCTTTAGACTAAACCAACATTATCCCAAACTTTCCTTTTTTAATGAATAATTTCAGGGCTTTAGCACCAGTGCTCAGAATCTTTACCTGTAAATGTGAATTCACTCACCTGTTCAAGCCACGCTGGGGGATACCTCCTGGAGCCTGGCACTGGGCATTTGCACTGGGGCAGGGACAGAGCTTGTTTTTCCATCTCCACGGTTGAAGATCTTCCTGCGGCTTGTGGGCTGCTCACCTCAAGTTGTGTTTCGTCACTGAGAGCCTGTGGGTCCCAGTTACATGTTATTTTAACATACCAGCTTTCCCAAGAACTGACAAGATGGCAGAAGTAGATAACTGGACTGTCTGGGAGTTCACATACCATAGCGTGGACGCCCTCAAGTGGCTGCTGGGTATGACCTACTTGCGGCTGAAGGCTGCGGCCGTGGCACTGAAGCTGGGCCTGCAGTGAAAACAGCACTGGTGGTTGAAGATGTGATCCACTGGTCTCAGAGGGGAGGGAGCACTCTGCATCAAAAATGGCAATTACTTCAGCCAGATGCAAATCAAACCTGAGATGACGGGTGTCCATCCAGGCAGGTTCACTGTCCTCCGCAGGTCCAGGAGGCAGGGCGGGGCCACTGCCCACATGCTCAGCCCGTTTGGCCAACGAAGGCATGGTTTTCTCTTAAAAACAAACAGCCAATCAGTGAAGTAAAAATAGAGCTGACGCCCCTCCACTCCTTGGCGTAAAAAATGTGCAATGGGGAAATTATGAAGAGAGGACACATTTTTATTTAAGGAATTTCATGAGTTGTGATTCCTTCCACTGCCTCCCATGGACTAGGGATCTTAAAACAACCAAAAGGGGTGATGTTCAAGCCCTACTTCCCCAGTAGTTTAAGAGTAACTGTGACGACTAGAGGAGACGTAGAGGGGTGACAGCCTTCCCCCAGAACCATCCCCTTACAATGAACATGACGTGGTCTCCGCCTCTCACCATTGCTACATTGGACACGGCGCTGGTTTATGAGGGCCGCCTGAGGTCTCATGGTCTGAGTGATGACAACAGAACTGTTCTGACTCACCAGTGCTCTGGGCTATATGTCTGACGTCCAGATGTTGCATGATTGGTTCCAGGTCTCTCAGGCCTGGGATGGCTCTTCTCCCTGTGTCCAAATCTCCCCCTTTTATCAAGATATCAGCTGGGTTAGAATTGGGCCACCCTAATGACAACCTTACCTGATCACCTCTTAAAGGCCCTATTTCCAGATAAAGTTACATTCAGACGGTGGGGCTTCAACACCTTTTGATATTGGTGGGGGGCACAATTCAATCCATTACAAACATCACAAGAGAACAAGATGGTTCACTGATTCCTTTATTTATTTAGGAGGTAAAGGAGGGACACAGGGGCCGGGGTGGGGGCCGGGGTGGTGGTGGTGGTGGTGGGGAGTTACCTACCAGGAGAGGGTTGGGAGGGATAGCAGGGGCTGAGCTAGAAAGCAGTAACACTGATTCTAGAGTTGGAAAGTAGTGCACATTGTAAGTACCTGGTGCAAGTTTGTAATAAAACCTATCTGACGAATAAGAACAGTGGATACTACTTAGTACATTCATACATGTTTCTAACATCTCCAGATTTTTATATATACAGTATATGATCTGTTTTTTATAAATGTACAGCTTGGAAAAAAAAAAAAAGATCCTTCTTGTAAGGTACAGCATTAAACAAAAAAACCAACATGGGCCAGCCACATTCCAACTGAAGACCCAGAGGAAGCAAGGCGGACAGCCTGGCCCCTGCCCCTGCCCCAGCCCCAGCCCCTGCCCGGCCCAGCCCTGTGGCCCTATGAGCCAGGCAGCGTGTAAACCAGCGCTTCAGCCCTCTGCACCTGTGGCCCGGGGCAGCATGTCAGCTGCCCTGACGACTGCCTGGGAAGTGCCAGCTCATTCGAGCCCCGAGCCCAGCCAGGGGAGGGCTGACCCTCCAGGAAGGAAGGTGGCAGAGAGGAATGTGTGTCAGGTAAGGAAAAGAGGGATGAAAGAAATGTGCTCTTCAACTAAAGGCACTTACTTGGTCAGCGGCCGCTTAGCGGTGCCTGGGCCTGGTTCCCGGCCTGGGGAGCAGTGGGGCCTGCTAGGATAGCGCCCACGAGAGGCATGGGCATCATCTGTCG